GCTCATCGTGAGTGGCCAGCAGGCTCCAGGAGAGAGTTGTGCCTGTTCCTCCAGGAGCTCCTGGCTGGAGCCCCCTGGCCGCCCGGTCCTGCCAGGCTCCCTCCTGCCCGTACCACGTCTGGCAGTGCCCGCCCGTGCCTCTCTGCCGGCGCTCCCTGTGTGAGCTCGTCCGGCCCCACGCTTGAGCCACGGCTGCCTGCCACGGCTCCAGCCACAGCTCCAGCCACGGCTGCCCGCCACGGCTCCAGCCACGGCTCCAGCCACGGCTCCAGCCACGGCTCCAGCCAGGTCTGCTCCGAGTCCCGAATTAACCCCAGCTGCCTACTCGGTCACAGCTCCCTGCCCCGCACACCCCAACAGCGCCCTCCGTTCCCATGGGTGTCCCCAGCCGCAGCCCCTCCCCAACACCTGGGTCTCCCCGCAGTCCCTCCCTGTGCCACACAGCCCCCTCCCAACAGCCCACCCCCGTCTCCCCAGCGTGAGCCCTCCACGCCCCCAGCTCGCTTGAGTGGACGTCAAGTCCTGGGCCGCCTGGTGCCCGGGCCCCTGGCCGTGGCCTCTCGCCCAGGCTCATGCCCAGCGCGGAGCCTGGAGCGCCATTCCCACAGTTGGGGTTCAGGGGACAGGGCAGTGCACAGGCTTCTTGGGTCCCCCTGAGAAGGAATGCAGAGGCGCCCCGGCCCCGGAGGGGAGGGCACTGTGGGCGAGGGCCGGCCGGCGGCCGGGCTGTTCTTAGGTGGGGTCATGCAGTTTGTCGCCTCGGGGTGAGACAGTCAGGTCCAGCCGCCTGGTGGGGCGCGGGGGAGAGCCGGGGCCAGGTGACCTCAATGCTGACTGAGCCTGACTCCTCACCCCATGCCCCTCTGCCCCGCGGTTCATCAGATCCGGGGCGCCAGGCCCAGCATACAGCTGTTGCGGGGCAAAGTTCACACCCCCAGAGGTAGAGTGAGCCTGGAGTGGTCACGGAGCTGCCTCGGGGACCCGACAGGAGGCTGCTGGGTGGCGGCCAGGTGTTTGGCGGAAGGAAAGAGCCCTTCAGGCAGGGGCACCTTCCTCGCGGGAGGCGGGCCTTGGCAGCAGAGGAGGGAGCCCAGAGCCTCGGTGGGGTGAGGCCTGCGGGAGGCTGGGCCGGCTGGTCTTCAGCCTGGGGGGCCGCGGGAGAGCCCCCCGGGCCTCGGCTCTCCCCCAAGTTCCCCCCCCCGGGCCTCAGCTCTCCCCCGGTCGCCCCCCCGGGCCTCGGCTCTCCCCTGGTCACTCCCCCTGGGCCAGGCACTCTGTCCTGGTCACGTCCCCTGGGCCGGCCCCTCTCTCTTGGTCACTCCCTTTGGCCCTGCCGCTGCGGCTCAGCTGAGACACTTGCAAGATGCTCCCTAGTTTCAGAGATGCCAGAGCGCGAAGGGCGCGTGCCCCAAGAGGCCAAGCGCAGCCTCGAGGCCCCGCAGAGAACCCCACTCAGTGACCTTGACCCCGCTGAGCCTCGCAGGGCACTGGCCAGAGTCACACCCGCCTGACATCTCGCAGGCCGCACAGCAGAGCCCAGCTGCCGCGGAGCGAGCCCCGTGCCCGTTCCACCTTGACACAGCGCCGGCTCCATCTCCCGGCAGCCTTTTGGTGACGAAGCGCGAAGCTTTGGTTGCCCGGGTGCATCAGCCCAGGGAGCGGACCGAGGCGGGCGGTCAGGCAGAGGGCGCTGGTCCTGGAGCGGGAGCAGCCGGGCCGGCTCCCCGGGCCTCGCCGTCCTCAGCGCCTCAGGGCCTGGCCGGACCGTGGCGTGGGGAGTCAGTGGCAGGGTGGCTCCAGCCGCCTGCGCTCCGTGGACCTTCCGGCTCTCCA